TTACACTATAAAGGCCAAAAAAAAAAGCGGACCAAATGATTGAGTTCAGGTGGTTCGATGGACGGGTTCCGTTAGAGTGTACAGTATGTAAACTTTAAAACTAATTATTGATTAACGCATTCCTTTTTTTTTAATTAGCTGGTAAATGCTTCTTCTTAAGCCACTATTGTCCTATTTACTATTGAATATCTGGTGATCCTGCCAGTTCCACTCCCAAAGTACATACGTTTTTTTTCCCCCATAAAAAGAACAAAAGCAACTAAAAAAGAGATTTAATTGACTTGACATAAACTTTATTGTTACGGCACACAACAGACATTGTAGACAATTGTGCTCTTCCAACCTTGTGGTAGGTTTCCAAGTTTGGTGAAGGCCCTTTTCTGTTCCACCATGACTGTCCCCTGTGTACAAAGCCAGCTCCATAAAGACATGGTGTGACCAGCTTGGTGTGGAGGAACTTAAGTGTCCTGCACAGAGCCCTGACCACAACCCTAACGAACACCTCTGGGATGGGTTGGAATGCCAAGTGTGAGCCAGGTCTTCTCATCCAACATCATTACCTGACCTCAACCCTACTGAACGCCTTTGAGATGAATTGGAAAGCCAATTGTGAGCCAGGTCTTCTCATTCTCGTCCAACATCAGTACCTGACCTCAACCCTACTGAACACCTTTGAGATGAATTGGAATGCCAATTGTGAGCCTGCTCTGCTCATCCAACAACAGTACCTGACCTCAACCCTACTGAACACCTTCGGATGAATTGGAAAGCCAATTGTAGCCGGGTCTTCTCATCCATCAATACCTGACCTCACAAACGGGTACAAATTCCAACAGATACCATCCAAATCTTTCCCAGAACAGTGGGGGATGTTATAGACACAATGGGGGCAGCTAAATATTAATGGTCATGGTGGAAGAGGGGGGCAACTAAATAATGGCAATTAAGAGAGGGGGGGGGGGATCCATGTTAATGGTCATGTGGGGGGGGGCCAACATCATAATATTGGCCATGAAGGTGGGGGGCCAACCTATAATGGGCCTCATTACATTGCCCTTCCCCTGCAACTCCATATTACTGCCAATGGTTTTGGAATGGGATGTCCAACAATCTCATACGGGCGTGATGGTCATTTGCCTACAAACCTTTGGCCATATATTGTATGGATTCATAATCCCATAGTGCTGCAGGAAAAGTAGAGGTTTAATAACCTCTTTTGGATGGAGTGGGCAAGGGTTAGAGGTCACGCCAGGTTTACTGCACTGTGTCCACACGTGGGAGATTTCCTGTCCTGGTAAAAAGACAGGAAGTGGAAATCCTATCATCAATAGATTACACTGGAAAAAAGATAGGAGGCGTAACCTATGGAGACACCGTATGCAGTCCAGTTTCTGGGACAGGGTAGGAAATCTCAACAGGGACACTGTTCTATCGAAAGCTCCAACTTGTTGAGCTCTCTAAATGGTGACTGCCAGTAGGAGATGTAGACCATATGGAACTACTGCATGTGCGTTAGCCGCACGGCAGTCTCAATCCTTACATCCTGGCACTGCGCCTGCATGCCTTCATCCAGCCTGTCGAATTCTCCAACTGTACTCGCTGCGCCTGCGCGTCTTCGCCTTCCCTGTCGTGTTCTCCAACTCTACTCACTCGCCTGCGTGTCCAACAAGGAGCGTTGGATTGCCTAACAGGTAATATGGCAAGATGAGTGGGGTTGTAGAATTCGATGAGCCGCGCAGGCGCAGTGACAAGTGGGGTTGTAGAATTAGACGGCGATTATGTAGCTGGGCAAGCGCAGTGGCGGTGGTTAGAGATGATGACAAGGAATGAATGGATTACTGGGTTCGTCGGGCTGACGCACGTGCAGTATCGGCTGGTGGTCTAAAGCTCCGACTGACAAGTCACGGGACGTGTTGTAGTCGGAAATCTCGACGGGTTGGGGTCTTCGACCCAACACCGGCCAACTAGACTGAAGTGAGTCATGTCCAGATCTATGGGACAGTCCAAAGGGAAACAGACTTGTAGGCAGTGCACTTAGTAATGTAACAATGTAACAGACCTGGTAAGATACTACCTCCCCCACCCTTCTCTGCAATACAAGTCTGTCTGAGGACACATGCTGAGGGGTGTGGTTGATACTCAGCTCTGCCAGCATAGAGCACTGGAGTGCGAGGGCTGGAAGAAGCACCTTCACCGCTTAAAAGAGTCATTTTAAGACACTTCCTAGAAGAAATCGTCACAAATAAAAACGATAAAGGGAGAGAGTCTTCACTTTTAATCAACCGTTCCGTATGTGCTCACAGAGTACCATCCTACAGGCCTCAACACTGCCACATGACTTATCAAGGCGATATCTCAACTTCCTCTGAGCTCCAACACCAGTGGCTGAGGAATGCGGGAAAGGTAAGTGGACTTTTACCCATGCCCTTAAATTAGCAAGGTGACAGGGTCTCTTTAAGACCAACTCTTTACCAGACAACT